TACGCCTGTTTAAAACTAACAACAGCTGAAGTGCCTGTTTCCTAGCTATTCTGTTTATCTCTGGCTATAATACATTACCACCAAGGCACGTGTATTGCAATCCTAGACAAGATGTCCACAATGCAGCGATCAGTCAAGCAATGACTCGGAGCAGATTTGATACAATCATGAAGCATCCCCATTTGACAAACAATGACAATTTCCAAGCAAATGACAAGTTTGCAGAAGTTTAACCACTGTATAACCATCACACGGGAAGATTTGTAAAATCCTTCCTCATAGAAGCAAATCTGCGTGGATTAAAGCATGATACCATATATGACAGTCGTCATCAACTGAAGCAATGTGCCAGAGGAAAGCCTATTTAATTCGGATATAAAGAGTGGGTCATTACAACACATCTAGGATATGCTGCCTATCTGGATAGATACCAAGTAGCTCAGACCAAATATGATAAGACATTCGGTTTGGGATATGGCAGTTACAGGCGTAGCAGACAGGCCACCGAAGTGCGGCCCTGTCACATTTTTGACAATTTTTTACGGACTTGCAGCTCATGAAAGCCTTAACCAACAAAGACATCAGAGCAACGGAGACAGCTCGAGTAAATAGGACAGATAAGTGCTCTGTCGACATTTGGGCCCTGGAAAAACTAAACAGGAATACTTATGACTACCGGTTTGACAGTGGAGATGGCATGTGACTCTTGCCAGCAACTCTGTTGTTGCATATCCTATGACAAGAGTAAAGAAGTGGTCGGCGAAGGACAAAGAGCCTATAACTATCGACCAACCTAATATCCTTAACAAGTATAACACTTCGATGGGAGGAGTGAATCGATTGAACAAAAATCTCGGTCAATATAAAATCAATTTTGGCTGCAAAAGGTGGTGTTGGTCGCTAATTGCTTTTCTCCCTGATGCTGCAACAAACGATGCTTGGCTTTTTTACAACACATTACCTGCACATGAGAAAGCCATGCTTTCTTCACACGAGCTGGCGTAAAAGTCTCCTTACAGGTGTTTCTAGCAGAGTTAAATATCCCACAAAGTCTCCTTCCACCCAGCAGCCAAAACGAACATGCGATCACTGTGGGAAGAAGACTAATCTGCTCTACCCAGTGTGTGATGTGTCACTGCACGGAACGTGCTCTGCGGCATACCACGCATGAACAATGGAACAATCATTTTGTTTAAACATGGGTTACATGTACCGTTATAATGAGCAACTGTCTGTTGTGTTATGTCTTTGGAAGAAATATACATGCTACCACTCCAAATCCGCAAACGTTTGTGTATTTTCCCAGCAAATGTGGTTTCGTATTTTTTTGTTTCATTTGTTGCTGGCGTCCTTCAAAAAGGACAGTGAGAAATCGCCATATTTCCTAAAATAATCAACACTTTCAAAATCCAAACCTCGTTGAGCGTTGTTTTTTCACAGTTTTCTATATTATGTAAATGGAGAAAATTAAAAACCTCAGCAGAAAATAGGTTAATACTTCTTGTGATTAGATTGTGCAAGCAGAAGAACGATACAATTTACTTGGCGAAGCAAGCGGCTAGCGTGCTGCAAGTGAACAATGTAGTTGATTGGACTGCTACGCGTATTTCGTTGACGCGCTGATTGATTCGCCTTAGCGGGTTTCTTTAACTGCTTCAAAGAACGAACTTTGAGTGCAGCAGTGTCGTTAGTTATGGAAATGACTTAGTTATTTACATCGAGGTTCCTACCTGCTTGTCATGCTGTCATTTTTGCTGAGCTCGCTTTGCTGAATAAACCGTTTGTCCCTGAATCACCGAGTTCTGCGATACTTCTCACGTTCACTTAAACTCCCCACATCATTCTACCCTGACATTTTCTTTTCACGCAATCTTCCACAAAATAAGTCTTCCTGATGAAGTGTTTGTAGTGATATTAGACCAACTAGACATTGTAGATTAAGAAACACCACGTCGCTTACTTCTTTATTTCTCCGTTTTGCTCTGTGATACCACTGCTAGTGGGCCGTCACATGTGCAACACAACAGTGGCATCCACACGAACCCTCTGCCTCAACATGTCGAACTTCTCCACCCATTCCTCTCTCTAATCCTCCTTTAATCAACGCTATTCTCGGGTTGTTGCGTTTTCTTTAGAATCACTAGTTACTATCTTGTTCTCAAGTTGTATTTTTAATTTCCTCTGTCTGTCAGATAGGGAATTAAATGATTGACAGTAACTACTTCGCAGTAGGACACAGTCAGATGACCAGCGGCCATTGTGCTGACTCGTTTACCTGCATCAGTGCCAATTCCATCATCCTAGTGAGAGATTAGAAGCGGTGCTGTGCCGAAAACGTATTGCTCGCCATTTTAGGTCCATCATCGAGTCGGGGGAACACGCATTGCTGGTGACCCCATATTACTAGGCGCCGGTGGCCCCGTGACTGGTCAAGCTTTGACGAATTACATTTTACCCCCTTAGCTATCCATTCTACTCTCTGGTACACGGTCCCTTACCCTAACTTCTCATCATTCCACAGAGTTAGGAAAGGTCAATACCTTTGGTGGAACGAGAGCCCATCCTCTATTCGGTGTTTTACTATCCACGCCACAAGTAGTTAGTTAAATATGTTATCTGCCTGCAGAGAGCGCCTGCTTACAGGTACTCTGCAAAGCACTGACCTCCCTATTCGAACGTATCTGGAAGTATCCCGGCTAACTACAGTGAATCGATTATAGTGGAAATATACAAGATGGGCAGTCGCGCAGACTGTGCTATTCACAGGGGTATTAGCCTTACGCCAGTTGTGACAAAAGTACTGGCCTCAATTCTCGTTCGTCACCTCACTGTGGAACGGGAATCTCGGATTCGGGAAGATCAGACAGGTTTCCGCCTTGGAGGTGGTTGTATAGACCATATACTCACTCTGCGGCAAGTGCGAGAGCAGCGTCACGCATACCGCAGACCGACAATAGCTGTGTTCCTCGACTTCAGGAGTGCGTTCGATTCAGTCGATCGATGCGTTCTGCAAGAAATACTTGCGCGGAGAGGTGTTCCCATGAACCAAGTAAATATTTTATTTACTCTATACTCGGACACTACAGTCCGCGTCAGGGATTACGGTGTCCTATCAGATAGCTTTCCAACCACAAGTGACGTTTGTCAGGGTTGCCCGATTTCCCAATTTTGGTTCAGCTTCGTCATGGACTACCTCGTGGAGTGTTCGCTTGCGGAATCTCATGATGTAGGCCTTGAGATCTTGCCTGGTGAAAGATTCGTTGATCTTGATTATGCGGACAATATCGTCTTGCTTTTCGACGTTGTTGCGGCGGCACAATCAACCCTGTATAGCCTGTCTAGAGTGGTCCCATTATTTGATATGCGCTTCGCACCTTCAAAGTGCAAAGTGTTACCGCAGGACCACCAGCCGCGTTATGACCCTTTGACTCTTGCTAACGAGGAACTCGAGGTGGTTGATCAGTTCACTTACCTTGGCAGCTGTATCAGCAACGATGGGCGCATAGAAACTGACGTCAGCTCACGCATTGCAAAGGCCATAGCTGCCTTCTTGAATCTGCGTCATCTTTGGCGACAGAAGGGAGTTTCCCTCCGTCTGAAAGACCGTGTATACAGGACCGCAGTAAGGGCCGTTCTGCTCTATGTGAGTGAAACTTAGCCCCCTCAGTCTGAACATCTGACGCGCCTCCAAGTCTTTGATCATCCTTGTCTGCGAAGCATTGCTGGTGTCGGATGGCACCAACGTATCCGCAACGATGATGTGCGTAGGCGAGTACTGGGTGGTGATAATCATGCTAACTCTTTAGAACAACAGATAGCACTGAATAAGTTGCGTTGGCTTGGTTACGTGCTACATATGCCTGGTCACCGCTTACCTCAGAGGGCCTTGTTTAGTCTGCCAGGTGTAGGGTGGCGCAAGGCTCGAGGTGGACAGAAGTTGACTTGGCAGCGTGAAATGAAGTCACTGACGACCAAACTGGGTGCCGTTGGTCCGTCTCGCCTTCTGGGCTGGAGTCCACGTGACTCGCTTTGTACTTCGCCCTAGACTTTACAGGACATGGCTCGCAGTAGACGGCAGTGGCGCGTCTGCTGACGTCTCCTAATCAGACTACCTGTTTAAAGTGTGTTTGGTGCTGAGTTATCTGCGGGGTAATGACTGATTATGACATGGGGCAGTGAAAGCCGCAAGGAAGCTGTCTCGCTGGTGCCGCCTTATCTTTGCCAGCTGTTTGTGATGGTATGTTGTTAACAAGTGGTCTTTACCCTTACTGTTTGCTTAGGACATTAAGGTTTTCAGCTAAGTCCCCGTTCTCTACCTCTTCTTGTTCTTTATTCCGTAGATAATCATGGTTGTATGGCAGCGAAGCATCAGTTCAAATGATAGGTACTGCGGTTCTTGATGTGGTTGATGATCATTGATGCTTACAGTCACAGTTTTAGTCCCCACCGGGCCACTGCAACTCCGGTTACCTGCATATTTTTATGCAATGCAAAACCTACACGCGTGCCCAAATTAAGCCTCGGTCTTGTGTCTTTTTGTCTACTCTCAAAGTTCTTTTCTCAACATTTGAAATAACATTTGAAATAACTAGATTTCTGATACTATTTTGTCAATCTTACTTTCTCTTTCATCTTTACTTTTTATTTTTTATAGTGCTCTTTCGAAAGCTCTTTTGCCCCAGTGTATTCCAAACTAAGGGTCCTCTTTAAGACGTTTTGAATTAATGAAGACATGCCGAGCACCCGCCCTTGAAATATATACTTTTTGAAAACTTAACTTTCTGTAGACATTTTATGAAATAAGGACGAAAGGCACTCTAAAAGTTCTGCTTGTCACAAACGTCAATTACAGTCGTTTATCGTGTTGAAAGACATTGACCTCCAAAATTGGTCGCGACGTAATCAAGCAATTTTCCAATTCTTACCAAATATGTCACTCTACTTATTTCTGTCTCTAATTACTTCGACCAACATCAACTCGATGCTTTCTTTTTGTGCAGCCGATGCGTTTGTTGTCTCCCGGACCGATCACCCGCCTACTATGTGCGCTTCTGTCCTCGGTCTTGTCAACCCCAATAATCTCTTCGGCTCTATTGAAAATCAGCGGGATCCTCAACGTTATTTTTCCAAGCACACTTTAAACTCCATCTCCACTAGTCAGCACTTGGATCTGAGCGCTTACATGGGGTCAAGTCTAATTGATTGCGATAGCACTCCCCCAGGTTGCATTCAAACCTACCATTCTTCCGTGAGTGCGAACGATGAAATTCGCCGAGCTGCTACTGCTCCTTCCGTTCCTGCTCGGTTGCAGACGTTGCATCGGATGGTTATGCAATATACCAGCCAAAATAAGTATGAGGTAGCAGCATCGTTGTGTACGCGAGCAATTGAGGATTTGCAGCGAGCCGGCGGACGAGATCAGACGGAAATTGCTGCTCTCTTGAACATCTTGGCTCTGGTTTACCGGTGAGTGGGGAGGTACGCGTTTCTACTAATTCTCTTGTTCTTGTGACTCATTATCATTATACACGTTAGCTGGAGTTGGAAAACACCTCAGCTATTGTGCCGCAATACATAAGAGAAGAAAATACCTGTAACCGAGGCACGCCAGCTGAGCCACCTGTAACAGATGGCCATCGTTCCGGAAAGCACCCAGCTGGTATTGTGCCTCGAAAATTATATTATGTAAAATTTATAATGTGCTGTGCAATGTGATCGTGGTTGGAGTGGGAGGGACGACGAAACTCACGACACAAACGCCACTGAGGTCGGTTCCTAGCCATGTCAACAAGTGTTTCCAGCCACACGTGTTCATCGTCTTTCGGACCCTAACCAGGAGGCTGAGGGGCTCGATCCGAGGCCAACCTCGAAGTAAGGGCCTTCATTCCTCTTGACCAAGTCATCGCTTGGCCATTTCTCCTTTCCTTCCATCCATACCTCCCGGGAATCGGTGGGTTGGCATGCGCAACACCGGGCTAAGCCATCGGAGTCTGTATCATAAACAAGGCATCGAACACTCATTGCTCACACGGTGTTCCCACTAGATATGAGCGAAACCGCGAAGGCACCGATGGTCGAACGTAACTAACCTCTTTCTTGCGACTATAGATACGTTCAATGTGAAGAGATCGCTATAGATTGTGTATTATGTCTGATTTATTCAGATTGATCTGCACGACGTAGAACCTCGACGGTACCGATGTTAAACATCTGAAATCTTACCTCAAATGGCAAACTTCCTCATTTTTCCTTTCTATTATTTGCAGACTCTTATTTCATGTTAATCTCCATGTTTGACTGGTTGTTGCATCACTTGACCTAGATTGTACTGCATTCCCTATCAACGTACTCAGTATCTCTTGACAAGTCTGCTAATTACTTTTGTTTTCTGGGCTTTGGTGTCGCACTTTTTATTACGAACTTTGACCGCATGAGCAAATCACTGATACTGAAAGCCTGGTACCCAGCTTGCCAGCTGCACACCGCATTGGTCGGACTGGGAGGCTGTGTGCACCTCGGTCATAATTTGCTATTTGAAGCAGCCCTGCTCATATGATCTGATTGTAAATGCCAGTTATCCACGGTCCTTTACTTCCACCCACCTGTCTTCCGGAGGCTACCAGACAGTTCTGCGGACACTCAAAGCATATTTCAGTTCTACCCTATCAATTAGTTGCGCTATTTCGTGTGTCGGCAACGCACTCAACAGTTCGGCTTAGGGTTGTTTTTCAAATGGCTTCTACTGAAGAGCCACACATGTCTAATTAGACTCATGAATGTCACCACATGACAAGGTATTTTTTATCACTTCGTCATATTCTTGCATCAGACGCATCACGAATACTATCAAAGGGATTCTTTCGGCACCTTTTACTTGTCACTAGTATACTCAGAGACACGGTTGATACAGGTCACGTGAACACTGGAGCTGGACAGCATATCGATGCTCGTCACACTGATACCTACACCTGGCCTCGTCCACTTTGTGCTGACCGTGACCTCTATTTCAGAAATTCGTCTTCTGGCTTTCATGTCGCATTCCCTGGCCATTACCGGGGAAGAGCGTACTCTTTAGTACATCCGGTCTGAGAACGTTGCGATCTATAGCTATGCTGGCCCGTAGCCTTAAGGATCACAGCCTGCCTTGTACTTTAAGGACGCGGGTTCGAACCTGCCTAGGGACCGGGCGACTCTCTCAGTGTCCTTAGTCCACGTGCAATTGGTGGTGGCGGCCCGGCACTGAAGCGTCGCCACTAAGTACCGCCGTACTGCAGACGTCTATTTTTCTCCTTCCGAGATATTGATTACCTATTCTTCCTTTCTAACCTATAGCTATCCACGTGTGGGGAGGATTGTCCCTCGAGATGGTACGTCTTTCTGTGGTTTGACCATTCTCAGACTCCTGCTCCAATACCACTCACTCTTTCGGCTTCTGTTTAGATACACAACTTAGAGACTACTTAATCGTCACCTGTACTCACAGTCATCCGAGTGTCTATCCTTCAGCTGTTTCGCCAGCTGTTACTGATGGACAGAACTAATGTGTCAGGTACCGACTGAAGTTGCCTTATCCGCTTAGATTGTGGTTTACGACTTCTGTCCTTATTAATTTTATTTAATCACGGAATATAAGACCTTTGATGGATAAGTTTTGGTGTATCCGCACCATTCATCAGTGGTCCCTGTCTACTTTCCCTAGCATTAACTTGGTTGTTGGCGATATCTCGTCAGATGACAAAAGTTAATTCATTGCTGGTGACCGAATACCTTTTCGGCTCATCGGAGCGTTTACGCGATAAGCTATAACTGGTACAACTTGGTCTTTGATCTTAGTTCAAAGTCGTCAGATCGAATGCTTGGTGCAACGTGGGAACGGCAGTTTTGTGAGTCCGTTATGCAACCTTGTTTTCCCGAATAACGTAAGCGTCCTACGATCGAAGTCTTCTGTATATTCTGATAAACTTAAGGTGACACGCGGCACTTTCCTCTGGTAATCTCTTTTTATCGTTACCGGAACATAGTGGCAACTCATTAGTTACGGATCAGTCTGTTCTATTGAACCTCATTTAGTGCATTCAGACAGGCAATTGTTGCCCGTCACCACCACCTTTTAAAAGGCCTATAGACGTAATGCGCAAATTATCGCCGAATAAGACTTATTGCATTTCCACACTGTTTTGTCACATGCATCATTTCCGTTCCGCTAAGCAAACATTTGGTCCAATTGTCGCGATTGACGCCATTATAATTTGGCAAAACGGTTCATACTAAGACCACCAGACGACATTGAACACGGTGTGATGATGTAATTGCTTCCCTAATTCGTTGGGGCATGCTTGGTAGCACTTTTTAAGTGTTTTTATATAGCCACACATACTAAACAGGCCAATGCTTAGAAATCAGATACATTCAACCTTGCCATCTTCTTCATCAGAGATTGGTGAGAAGTCGATGGTAGTAGTTGCAGGTCTTACTCTCAATCCGGTTGACATAATTTATTAGCGACGCAGGAACCCTCTGACAGTGGGAATTGTTCACCACTATTTTTGAGAACCAACCATCGGCTCAAAAGCTCTGAGTGAACTCCCTCAAACAAGCGTTCATTTACCTAAAGCCTTTTGAATTTGACTCTTGGGTCAAAGGCTAGAGGAGGTCTACCCTAACGAAACCCTTCGGAAAGGGAACCGGCTCTGCGTTGTCCATCCACAAATCTCTGCTCGGGTTAACGAGAATAAGGTGGCCACGGACTGCAACGGGCTCACTAGCAAGGATACTGGGTTACCTTTCAAACGCAAAATACCAATTCACTTTGCGTTTTATAGCGTCCGCACAGCGTATCTGATCGTCAACAAGTGCTACTGTTTATGGCCTTACAGCAATTAAATTTGGTGTTTTTTTATTGTAATTCTGGAGTGAGATGGATAAACTAAATCAGTCGAGTCAGGTCGGAATGTGATTTATGCACCCACGAAGGGTAAATATTTAGCTATAGCACACACGTCAAAGACAGGAATCTATAATGCAGTAGAATAATGCAGGCGGATGAGCATAGAACAGTAGTTCTTTAAAATAACCGACACCTGATAGCACTGAAATGAGGCTCATTGTCACTGCTGTATATCTCACTGATGTTGGAGCATTCAAATCACCGAAAGATTGTGGACGGAGTCTGAAAATTTACTAGTGGCGATTCACAAACAAATTAATAAGATAAAACATCGCAGTGTTAGGCGTTCATGGGCAGACAGCTGTATTTGGATCAGGCTGAGGTTGTCCAGGAAGATTTAAAACCTGTGGTTGGATGATGGACATTCAGGATGACACCATCCGCATTCCATAAGCAAGATGGCTTCTTCGGGAACGTGGATTGAAAAATAGAAATGAGTGCAAAATGACACCCTGACGAACATTGGTTTTAGTAGTCAGTGACGAGGGTTTTGCCCAGAAATGAACTCGGTACTTCTGGTAAAAAAATAGTAGAAAACCCACAGCTTGAACTGCAGTACTGAGGTGATCGCGCAACTGGAATTCAGTGTTCACAGAGGCAAAAGCATTGCTATAGTCTTGGAATCAGATGTGCGTGGCTTTGTTCTTACTATCATATAACGAAAGCAACGAGACAGTATCGCGTCTAAGACGGATCTTGAAGTGTTAACTGATGGGAGTCATCCGAACGCATTTCTATTAACATCCATCCAAGAATAGTCCTATGGTAAGTCTTCACTGACGTGCATGCAGTTGGCCGATATGTGCACGTTCCTTTCTTCGCCGGCAGTCATCTGTTCCACGTTGCTTCAGGCATACCATGTACAAATCAGCTGAGAGCTGTATTGAGGGGTTAGCACTTTGCTTGATTACGACAGGAGATAGTCTATGCGGACCGGGATTAATTCCTTGCCTACTGTTCTTCACAGAAGCTTATTTATCTGACCGCTATTATAGATCCGTTTATGATATGCCATAGAATGAATCAGTGTCATTGTCGTAATAATTGGTTACTTTTTTCCACATCCAACTTAGGTGTGGCATCGCGCACTGTTCCTCCCCATTGTTTCCGCACCTACCATATTTTTTAATGATTGTTTTTTCCAAATGTGTTTTGGATGCATATGTAGTTATGACCGCACAATTCTTCTTTTATATCCGTTTACGGAGAATGTCTAGGCAATATCTGTACGAGTAATCAATTCCAACTAGGACATATATAAACCCAGATGGGTTCATTTTCAGCATTTACACTACTCCTGCGAGCATACTGGATGCTAATATCCACAAACATGGTTGGGGAGAAAATATATGAAATGCACAACTCTAAATCCCACATCTGCTCGCACGACTTTCCTTGTGTCAACAAACAAACGTGATGAATAAAGCAAGGCAGTGTTACGATATGAGGAAGTTTGAGGGAATAAAATGTTACTGATTGAACGTGTAAAAAGCCCATTTTTGCAAGATCATTGTGAAGT